TCCGGGTATTTACTAGTTTTCCAGACTATGTGTCTAATATAGTACCCGGGTACTATTAGTTGGGGGTACTTTTTTAAGGGGATACTATAAGGTGCGCTGTACGGTACTTGTATCTTCATATCGATATATATTTAGCCGTAACGGTAACAGCCGAATTAGGGCAGATCACAATATACAATATAATCTGATGTAACGTCATTTGTTAATCTCATTGCGATAAATAGCCGACTTCTGATTCATCTGATTCATCTGTTGTGTATCGAGAATATTCATGTACGTACCATTTTCACGTTTTAACGCGAAAAAAGGAATTCGGATTAAAGATATAATTTAAACCGAACAAATGGCAACAAAACGAATGCAAAAAAATACTGAAACTGAGAAAATTAATAACCCTCCCACATTTAACAAACATTATGAAAAGATAGACTCAGAAAGTGTATTTGAATTCGGTGGTCCCTGGGGAGTTACTGCTATGATGATTGGGTTTCCGGTTCTAATGTATTACTTATGGGGCTGTCTGCAATTTTATCGTGGAAAGTTAGTATCACCTCTTGACTACCAGCTTTGGAGTCAAATATTCAAAGGTGCATTTCCTACCTGGTACGCAGCAAAAATATATGTATTATTCTGCCTTTTTGAATTACTCTTGGCCTACTTTATGCCTGGTCCGATTGTTAAGGGTGCGCCCGTTTCTTCTTTGAAAGGCAAGAAATTGGACTATCTTTGTAATGGTGTGGCTTCTTGGTACGCCACTATTGTTACTTCATTTGTTCTACACTATTATGGATGGTTCCGTCTCACAGAAATCATTGATAACTTTGGTCCGTTGATGTCTGCTGCAGTAATTACTGGCTTCGTTGTCACATTGGTCATATATGTTACTACTATTATGCAAGGAAAAGAGTATCGTATGTCAGGATATTTAATGTATGATCTTTTCATGGGTGCTGCATTGAATCCGCGTCTTGGACGGGTAGACCTCAAAATGTTTGCAGAAATTCGCATACCTTGGGTAATTATTTTAATTATACAATTAGTGGGAATTTATCAGTTCATGTAGTGGCTATTAATTAACTTTCCTTGTCCATTACTATTGTATATATAGGTTCTTTTGTTTTATATTTCAGTCTCGGCAGCAATTAAAGAATACGAGTTGTTTGGTTATGTCTCTGCATCTATGGCATTTATGGTTCTTGCACATTTCTTGTACGTGAATGCTTGTGCTAAAGGTGAAGAATGCATCCCAACTACATGGGATATGACTTATGAAAAGGTAATTACATACAAATATTGGGGTTTTTTTTAGTTTTTTTTTTTTGTCTTAATAGTTTCTGCGCTATTAACCTATTAACCTATTAACCTATTAACCTTCAATTCTAATTATCTATAGTTTGGATTTATGTTAATTTTTTGGAATTTTGCAGGAGGTATAAAATATTTATATAAATTGATATATTATTTCTTATTTTGAACTAGTAATTGATTACATTGTTACTTGTAGTGCCTTTTACATATTGCTATGCAACAATATATCTTCACAATACTAGCATCGATAATAAACAACCTATACAACATTCGCAACTTTGGATCTACTTTTGTTATGCATTGTTATTATCAGGATATTATATTTGGTAAGTGATTAGTTTTTTTACACGTGATCATGTTATTTTTTCAATATCGTATATTGGATAAATATCAATGTTTCAATTTCTGATGCATCCATTTAATGTAACAGGGATACGGCTAATTCACAAAAAAATCGTTTCAGAATGATAATTAATGGTTGTTATATTCCAAGATATACATTTCCACAGCTTCCATGGGGAACATTGAAAAATCCGTCTTACATTAAAACAAAATATGGAAGCCCGTTATTGACAAGTGGTTGGTGGGGAATTGCACGTAAGATTCATTATACAGCAGATTTGATGATGGCTTTTGCATGGGGGTTTATTACTGGATTTAATACAGTCATCACGTATTTTTATCCAGTATTTTTTGTAGTTGTGTTAACACACAGAGTTTACAGAGATATGGAAAGATGTGCTAAAAAATATGGTAAAGATTGGGAAGAGTACTGTAGGCGGGTTCCTTATATTTTTATTCCCGGAATTTATTAATCAAACATGTAAATAGATAATTTTTATATTACGGTTATGTTATTGCAAAGTTTATGTATTCAAAGCAATATTCAATAGAATAGTTTTGGTACTATTTATAATTTTAAATATCGGAATAATTTATAATTAAAGATTAAAAAGTATATAAAAATTTTCTTTCGTGATCATAGAATTACCCTAATTTAAAGTTGATCAGTTTCAAACGTCACGCCGGCGAAATAACCCGGTAAATATTCCTTAGTTGACGGATGAGATTACTTTTGGTATTTCATACATGATGTTCAATTTAGGTAGTTTGTTTTCGTGCCTCATATAAATAATGTATGCTAATAATACTCTATTTATTTGAGTTTTCAATCTTATCCTATTCTTCTCACCTAATCACATCGTGCCTTCCATTTTGTTATTAAAAAAAATGTCATTGACAGATTCAAAACGTCTGGCGGCTTATAAAGCTGTTGATACTCATTTAAACTCTGATACAAGGATAATTGGAATTGGATCAGGTTCAACAGTTGTTTTCGTTGTTGAACGTATTGTACAAAGAGGTAATGCTAAAAAGAATAAGTTGGATGGAAAAAACGAAAACTCAAACCAGGTTTTAGAGGAACTGGATTTGGATCAATGTGTTTTTGTACCAACAAGTTTTCAAAGTAGGCAATTAATTATCGATAATGGATTAAATCTGGGAGAGATTGACCAGTTTGTGAAGTTTTTTCTATAGCTTTTGATTTTTTGGTGAAAGTTAAGAGTTTCATCGTCTTGTATTCCTTTAGGTACCAAGAAATTGACATTACAATTGATGGCGCTGATGAAGTCAGTTGTATTATATATCTACATATTTATACACTATACAGAAATCTGAATATCTTAATATGCAATAACTACATACATAAACTACATACATAGTAACTATACTATGCAGTTACTGCGTATTAAGATATTCAAGATTCTGTAAATTCTGTAAAGCACATTACATGTAACGAATTGTCAATTGATTTTTACATTTATATTTATGTATGTATAATTACCTAATAATAGGTCGATGAAAATCTAAATGCAATTAAAGGTGGTGGTGCTTGCCATTTACGAGAAAAAGTTGTAGCAGAAATTTCCAAAAAATTTATAATTGTTGCGGATTATACTAAAAGGTCTACTGTTCTTGGTGAAAAGGTAATTCAAATTATGTCTCTAAATTTAGATAACACACCTATTCCTGATTAATCTTGAAATTATTATAGTGGATCAAAGGCATTCCAATAGAAGTAATCCCGTTCTGTTACGCCTTAGTCCTTAACTCTCTTAGGCTTCTAGGTTGTCAACATCTAAATCTTCGTATGGCAAACAATAAAGCAGGTCCTATTATTACAGATAATGGAAATTTTGTTATAGATGCATATTTTGGTAAATTGGATGGGCAACAATTTCTTGGAAGTGATAAATTTATGTTCATTAATTCACCTTCAGAGGTATTAAAACGAATTAAACTGTTAACTGGTGTTGTGGAAGTTGGATTATTTGTTGGGGTGGCAGAAATTGCTTACTTTGGCGAAGATGATGGTCACAGCGTTGGTATTTTGAAAAAATGAAATTTTTAGACCATTCAGCTATCATAGTGCTGTACATGTATAATAGTATTTATACAAACTTCACAAGTCAGTTTTGAATTCATTATATATATTTAAAAATATCCTTCATTAAATTATTTTCGCATTGTACAAAATTGTTACGAGAATAATAAAATTTTATTAAAAAAATTAATATATTAAAAACAAATTAATATATCCCTATATTCTCTTTTGCTTATGCTATTATTGTATGAGATGTTTATTATGTATCACAATATATCACAATGATGTCGAATGATTGTAATTAAACAATGGTATTCCTTCTCATAAATAACCCTTGAATTCTCTTCTTATCTATTTCTTCTTTCAAGTCTTTCATCACCTCTCTGCATAATTCATCACTTCCCCAAATTTTCACGCACTTATCAAAACCACAAGTAACCAACAAGTCTCTTTCTTCATCGTACCACATTCCACGTACAACATCAGAATGTCCACTTAATTTGTCATCATCGCCATTAGTATGACCTTTTAATTTTTCAATTAGTCTTTTGGATTCAATTGAGTATACACGTGGATAGGCATCCATACCACAAGCATAAAAATATTTTCCTGATGGATGCCAGAACAACCTCGGATTTGTAAATTTTCGAGAGATGTCAGTTGCTATAGTGATCGATGGCGATGTTGGAGACGAAGAGCTTGGAGATGATTCTGGTGAAGGAATGTCATAAAAGTTTGCTAGTTGGATCAACGTTGAAGACGTAATACTATCGTTCTTGTCAATTTCATTTTGTTCACCAATGTCACAAGTAGATGTATTAAATGTTTTAAACATAATGATTCTACCATTATCGTCATCAGTTGCAACCAATAGGTATTTACCACCATTATTAGGACTAGCGATAATGTCCATTGCTGTAAATGATACCCAGTTATCACCATTTGCATTCATGTTATGTTTCGTAATTTCAAAATTTTGGCGTTTGAATTTGGTATGTTGAAGATTAATATAGTATAGATAATTAGATTCACGAATACCTACAATTAAATAATTTGAATCTGGAAGAATACAAAGAGATTCTATATTGGATTCAAAAGTTATAGTATGCATTTTAGAGTATAAAGGAAGTGGTGTTGATGGTGTAAGTGGAGTTGAAGGAGTTGTAGGAATTGGTGATGTCTGCATTGATGAATTTACGAAATGTGGAGAAGAAAGACGTGTAGGTGTTGATGATCCACCGATGCTATAAATAATCAAAGTATGATCATAACTCGCAGTAAAGAGCATGTTGCCATCCGGTGAAAACTTTGCTCTAACAACGTATTTGTTATGATCTTTAAAAACTTGTTTAACTTCCATAGTAGAAGCATCGATTAACGCAACACTACCGTCCATTGAAGCGGTCAACATCAAGTTTGTATAAACGGGATGAAAATCGATAGCAAGAACTCCACCTTTATGAATATCACAAACATTATATACATCGCCGGTAAGTAAAGAAGTGAATTTTATGGATTTATCAGCCGAACCGGTGATTATCATGGGGATGGAAACAGTTTCGTAGTCATTGTCAACGTAGTTTGTGAGTTGGATGTTTTGAATGCGAACAGTGAGAATGT